AATAGGTTGGAGGCTATTGCTATTAGGTTGGAGGCCATTGCCAATAGGTTGGAGGCCATCGCTAATAGGTTGGAGGCCATCGCTATTAGGTTGGAGGCCGTCGCTAATAGGTTGGAGGCCATCGCTATTAGGTTGGAGGCCATCGCTATTGGGTTGAAGGCCGTCGCCAATAGGTTGGAGGCTATTGCTATTAGGTTGGAGGCCATTGCCAATAGGTTGGAGGCCATCGCTAATAGGTTGGAGGCCATCGCTATTAGGTTGGAGGCCATCGCTAATAGGTTGGAGGCCATCGCTATTAGGTTGGAGGCCATCGCTATTAGGTTGGAGGCCATCGCTATTAGGTTGGAGGCCATCGCTATTAGGTTGGAGGCCATTCCTTAAGATTGCAATTATTTTGCTTGTTTAGTTTTCCTTGGCACAGGAAACTATGAGGACTCAGACTCTGAGGACCCGAGATCGGAGTTAAACTCGAAGCTGCAGTCTACACGGAATTCATTGTAATTACAAAGGAAGGAAGGCAGGAAGGAAGGATAAAGAGCTAAAAGCTAAGTTTCTGCTAAACGCCAGGAATGATCTCAACCATGGATCATGCACCTTTAAGAACCCTTCGATACAGGGAATAGACAACAATAGACCTAAATATGAAGATTGGCATTTCTGCCGTAATGATGTTCAATGTGATGATATGATGCTGTGATGTTTGGTGAACTTGTTGGGATCTTCGCACAGTCAGCTTTCGCTTGGCCCTTTTTGCCTCCATGCAATAGACTCAGGTCCAAGGGTGTTATTTGCATACTGTGCAGTTTTCTCCGCAGGAAATCTACTGTTTTTCAAAAGAAACCTGGTTGCAAAACCAATTTCGATGGTTCTTGCGAGTCATTGAAGCTCAGGGTGGAAGGCTGGGTGATTAGGTGAGTGAGGTTGGCATGGATTACAGCTAGAGCTACATTGGGAACTCAACTTGGAGTTGCTAGTTGAAGTGGCAGGGTTGTGTTGGGGAAGGATGCATGTATAAAAAACAAAGAGGTCTGGGGACATATACAGAAACAAGTTTCTAGAGAAAGGTGTAAAGAGACTGGAGTTTCATAAAGAGAAGCAGAGCAAATTATTCTAGAGAAAAAGTACAAGTTGTCGGAGACAAAAAACAGAAAGGAAGGGTGAATGGTTTCTAGAGGAACCGTTGTGAAACATAGAGGCTCTCAGAGATCCGTGTAGAAACGCACAGGTTTCCAAAGACTGCGGTCCGTACTTGCGCTATCATGAGACCCAGTCGATCACGCAGTGGCGTCCTCACAGCGTCCACGTTCGCTTCGCTTGAGAGTAGCATTTCCACCCCACAGCCAGCTCCTCGCAGGCTCACAGGCAAGGTAGCTATGTATGAACTGAGTGATGAAGAGTAAAATGAGTGATGAGTGAGCAAATCAAGAGTCAACTGAGTGGCAAGTTCCTCTTCCTCACCTGTCGATAAATTTCGTAACTTCCTTCACACTATTGAATACTTTCACCATTTTCTTTGAAATCCATGGCGATTTTCGTGAAGTCAAGGATGGAGGGAAGATTGCCAACTCCAGTGAGGAAGAAGGCCAGGCAGATTCCGATCAGGGCAGCCGCTTGGTCTATGCGGCTTGTGGTTTGTTTTGAGCTGCACATGAGCCAAGAATGACAAACTTTCAGCAACTGGTTGGAGCAACTTTAAAGCATTTCTCAAGCATAGCATATGTGATATCTGCAAGGCAACAAAGAGCCCGAGCCGGTAGCAGCTCAGCAGGAGATGTGGCTTCCTGCCATTGAAGTGCGTGAGTTGAGCGCTGTGCTGTCCTTTGCTTTTTGTTTTCGCAGAGGGAGCATCTTACCTAGCCCAGGCAAAGCATAATGCTCCGTTGCATGAAGAATCTCGTAGGAAGCAACCCTCCTTTTGCCGCCTTGCATGTTTGCATGTCAGTTTCCTAGGAAGAGGAAGAAGAGGACGAGGATGCAGATGAGGATGAAGACAAATTGAATTGGGCTCAGGGTCTTTGTAAGAGTAGGCAAAACAGTTGCAGGATGGCTGCTCTTCCATGCCTTATGTTGCCAACAGCCGTGTCTTGAATCCAAGGACTTCTGCGTCGAAAGCCTTTAAGGCACTTGATGCTTTGGGGGAGGTCTGTCTGCCGTGCTTATTCAGCAAACTAGATCGACAATGAACATGGTGGTCACAGCCAGGAGGCACTTGCCTTCAAAAAGTTTGCAGACAACCGTGCCAAGACCGATCGAGCCTGGACCCTTTTCTGAAGTGAACATCACTTCTGTTGTTTGCTTGCAAAAGCTGGCAAGTTGTTTAGCTCTTGAATGTTTTGGCAACTCTTCACCCACACACACACAAACGCTCTCTTTCATTAGGTGGAGGTCATCGTCATTAGAATGGAGGCCATTGCTACTAGGTTGGAGGCCAACGCTAGTAGGTTGGAGGCCATCGCTATTAGGTTGGAGGCCATCGCTATTAGGTTGGAGGCCATCGCTATTAGGTTGGAGGCCATTGCTATTAGGTTGGAGGCCATCGCTAGGTTGAAGGCCATTGTTATTAGGTTGGAGGCCAATACTACTAGGTTGGAGGCCATTGCTTTCAGGTTGGAGGCCATCGCTAGTAGGTTGGAGGCCATCGCTGGTAGGTTGGAGGCCATCGCTAGTAGGTTGGAGGCCATCGCTATTAGGTTGGAGGCCATCGCTAGTAGGTTGGAGGCCATGACTACTTGGTTGGAGGCCATTGCTATTAGTTTGGAGGCCATGGCTAGCAGGTTGGAGGCCATTGCTTTCAGGTTGGAGGCCATCTAGTAGGTTGGAGGCCATCGCTGGCGGGTTGGAGGCCATTGCTTCTAGGTTGGACCCCATCGCTAGTAGGTTGGAGGCCATTGCTTCTAGGTTGGACCCCATCGCTAGTAGGT